CGGTAAACGCATTTCAGATATCAACACCATCTCTGGCGGCAATCCCGTCTTTGTTTCTAGTTGAGCTGTCGACGTGGTCCCGGCCAAGTACTTCTCCCGTGAGTTTTGCTCTTTTTTTTCTCGCGTGATCCGCATATTGGATGCGACCTTAGTCTATAGGCAAATATGAAACCAATCATCTGCGCACCGCACGAGCCATTAGTGTCCCTCAGATACGGCATCATCGATGACTGACTCAGCATTTTTATTGTTTCGCAGGCCATACAGTCGTTGTTGCGCACGGCTAGGGCTTGGCCGTGGCGGTGTGAAAAGGTTAGCTGAACCGGTGAAGCAGCACATCTTTTCCCTAACAGCAGCGAGCATCGCGGTCGGAGTAAGGGTGGCGGGGTGGAATAGCCGCCGCTCGTCAGCCCCGATATCTGCGGCAGCACACATCACAATTCACACTGCAGGACCAAAAAAGGCGATAACAATGACGATGCGAGTTGTAACTGATACTGTAGTATTTCACACCACCACGTATTGACATCCGTTCGTAGGCTTGTGCGGATGTAAACCCGCGGTGAGGAGCATCTCCTCAAGGGACCATCAGCCGCTGGTAGGTATATCCATATCTCTCCATTATGTTGTTCGCTGCGCTTACTACGAACTGCCTCGTAGGACAGCTTGTGCAGTGAAGGCAGCCGTAGCTTGCTTGATAGATCTGACCGACTCCCACCGGAGTGCGAGTTCGGCAGATCGCGGCGCCACGAAGAGATCATTCCGACTTGCTTAACCATGAGTTCCCAATCTGATTCTACGCTCGACTACCAACAGGCATCGCGCATGTCACGAAAGAGGTGAGCTGCAGCATGGTATCAGTGTTCGTGATGAGGACCGCGTCGATTCGCGGTCAGTGAAACTCGGTGCAACTCACTCCACTCGTCGCGGCTCTCACGCCGTACATCAAAACCGCCATGCCACGTTTAGCCCGTTTGGCTTTCCCTTCAGCATTTTATGATCCTAGAGTATTCCGCTTAATCCTTGGCGTACTGTTCCTACCTGCAAACATGACAGTGACTCATAGCTGTACCTAAATAGCGGACGGGCAAGGCATTCCGCCCTGGACAGCCTCAGTCCGAGTAAGGGTGTTCCCCACCTCTCTCCCTGGATAAGGAACTGAATACGCTTGTTCCTAGCTTCTCATCGGCGTTTCCACTAGTTTCATCATACGACGTCCCCAGGTCACGGAACTGTCGCTGTCTCGCCATTTTGTCATCCTGTCGTACTGATCGCCATTTTTCCACGTCGCTGCCTCAGCGTCGTCGAGCACAAAGTTGCCGCCAAAGATGACTCGCCCGAAGCGGTGCCTCCGTGGGGAGCTTTTAATCGCTTCCTGCCAGCTCCTGTCGACGATCACATTGTTGACCCTGAACCTATCGCCACTTGCCTCTATGCGGGAAGACACTGAACAGGTCATCGCACTCAGCGGGCTAAAGGTCGTTAATGCTGAGGACGGAGGCAAGAGCATCTCTGCGCTGGGTTCAACATCTGCGTTGTCCGAACTCGAAGGTGGCGCATCTGTCTCATTAGGCATCGATTTGAAGGGCATCGCGGAAGATAGTACCTCTGCCATCGCCTCCTCTGTGGATGTTTCTAACCTCACCCAATGCTCACCCCGTACACACGAGTTTTACATCCTTCCCATCCCAAACCACCTGCGACATGATCCGACTAAACCTCAGTCTCTCCCTCGATTGCTTCATTATATTTTTGCCATAACATGCACTATTTGTGGGTACCTGTGTTACTATTAACTGACGAATACTAACCTCCATTACAAAACCATAGTCGCAGCTAACCTGTATTATTGTCAGCCTCTCCTAAGTGAGTATCATATGCAGCTACACTGCCGAATTCATTCTAAGATAATGCCTGGTGTTTAGTTCAACTCTCCATTTCGTTCGGTGTATCCTATAATCAAGTATCCAACATTCCAACCCTTAGTCAAGCCGGGTAAGTACCTCCCGTCAGTCAAAACGTTCAATATACTGATATGATCTCAAGCTACGTTGTTGGCTTATTCCTCATCGCCCCACTGGGCGACCTTGTCCGACGGCGTCCATTAATCCTGATACTTACCACTACGACGCTCGCTCTATCCATCGGCATCGCCTTCAATTCGAACTTCACTGCCTATCAAGTGCTCTCCATTCTTGTTGGCATCGTCAACGGCGTTTCGCAAATTTTGGTACCATTCACCGCCGAGCTCGCTGCTCCTGAGCGCCGCGGATCCGCGATATCGCTGCTGGTTTCGGGGATGCTCCTGGGTATCCTATACGCGCGCATCATCGCCGGTGTCATCGCCCAATACGTCTCCTGGCGCGTCGTGTATTACGTTGCCACCGGATTGCAAGGGGCGAACATCCTCGTCCTATATCTGACCGTGCCGGATTGTCCGGTACGGAATGTGGGGTTGACCTACTTCAGCGTGCTAAGAAGTACATTGAAGTACGCTGTGACGGAGCCGACTTTGATACAGGCCTCACTCGTCTCGATGGTCTCTATGGCGTGCTTCACCAACTTCTGGGTGAGTTCGCCGTCCTAGGGCGCGTACACAACCTAATTTATCTTGTCCCAATAGGTTACATTGACGTTCCTCCTCTCGGGCTCGCCGTATAACTATCCCACGTACGTGGATACGCCGTTCATATGGCCACGCCACTCATCCGCCTTCAGGATTGCGATTGGCCTCTTTGGACTTGTTGGTGTCTTTGGAATCCTACTCGGACCTCTCATCGGGCGCACGATCGATCATCTATTGCCTTGGACTGCTGCACTCATCGCGACAGCAGCCTTGATCGTATTTCAAGCGATACAGACGGGGGCGGGCGGCGTGCACATCGCTGCAGTTGTCGTCGTGTGCCTTGGCATCGACGTATTCCGTCAAATGCAATACGTGTCGCTCAACACGATAGTCGTTGAGATCGAGCCTGCGGCCACAGCACGAATGAACGCCGTCTTCCAGATTTCCGTAAATTCTCTTTCCATGACCTGCGGCGACGTCCAGGCTCTGATCAACTGCTCACAGGTGTTCGCGGGACAAATGATGGGCACTGCATCAGGGACGGCGGTGTTCTTGAAGTATGGTTGGAGACCTGCTGCTGCGCTGTCTCTCGCATGGGCCGGATTCACGCTTCTAGTTATGCTGCTCCGCGGGCCGCATTGCGGGCGGCATACGTGGTACGGATACGAAGGGGGACGTCACCTACGCAAGCCGAAGGTCGTACCAGAGATTTGTGTCCAGGAAGCGACTGGCGACCGAGATCTCGAGATTGCATTTGAAGGATTGCCAGCCAGGGAAGGCGAGACAGCTGGACCGTGACGAATGACACTGGGGCACTCCGAGTCCGCAGAACTATTTCAAAAAAGCACTCACAATCATCCCTTCTCCGGCTCCCACAAAAACAATTGTATCAATGTATCATGTAGCCATAGTCAATCTAGATCATGTTTGAGCCCTAGTCCTCCACCAAGTCATTCGACCAGGACTCGTAAGTTTCCACGTCTTTTAAGATGCGCTCAAGATGGGCTTTGACTCCAGACACAGACTCTAAACCGATCGGCAGCCACAGCGGCGGGTCGTTAAGCAGGCTGAGCTCGTACAGCTTGGTTATAACCTTGTGTGCGTCGTCTCTCTTAAAAGCAGGATCTTGCGCCGCCATCATCGTCCGCCGGCCAATAGTCAAGGGTATTGTAGGACCAGTGTAGCTTGGAGGTGGGGGAAAGAAGGCGGAGTTGTGTCCAAGATTTGTGCGGACAAGTGAAGGCGCAATCATGGAGACCTCGAGTGAAATGTGAGTATGGGCACTGTGTGACAATTGCATCGACTCACCTTTATATTCCACGTAGGATCTATCTCATCTGCCAACGCCTCGTTGATTGCACCGATGGCTATATGAAGGTCGGTTTACAATATCGGACTACGAGTCTCTAAACTCACCAGCCTTGGTCGCACTATAGTATCCCAGCCCTCCAAACGGCGACATGCCAGCATACGACCCTACGGTCAATAGCCGTCCCCCAGCTCCCTTCGGGTTCTCATCCCTGAAGAATCTCACCGCCTCGCGGCTCACGTTTGCTGCACCCCAAAAATTGGTCTCGAACATTGATCGCGCGAGATCGTTCGGCGTGCCCTCGACTTCTGCGCCGAGCGACACACCAGCGTTGTTGAACACAACATCCACCCGTCCAAATGCCTCCTTTGCCTCGAAGAATACGTTCTTAATCTCTTCTTCCTTCACGACGTCCAACTGAACGACTAGCAACTGCGTTGGTGGATATCGAGATTTAAATTCGGCGAGGTCGGCGGGTGTTCGTGCGGTCGCGACCACTCGCTCGCCTTTGGAGAGCACGAGCTCCGTCATCGTCCTCCCGAAGCCGGAGGATGATCCTGTTACTGTCATGGATGTAAGTTTTTCGTTAACTCTTCTGTGAACTCCGTTAACTTACCTAACCAGACACGCGGCAGCGACATTTCTGTCCAAAGTACTGAGAGATTATGCATTCTCTCTTTGCACATATATTATCTGCGCGTTCCGGGGTAACTCTCTGTCTCACGTCGGTCCTGTCGTCGTGTGGCATGACGTTCATCCTGAGTCCGCATATTTTTGGCTTTGCCCCGCTTCGGTTCGGAGTAGCAACAGTGGCTGCAACATAGTGATACCACGTCTCACACAGCTATAGTATCGGTAGAGGACCATTTTAATGACGCTGTGTTGATACCGGTGTATTAGTGTTGATCGGCTAACATTGATATCGGCGGACTAGTTATTCAATACTGTGCTGAAGAATGCACTAGGTAGATGCTCCGGCCCCCCAGCCTGTCCTCCAACGTCGCAGGGATGAGTATATGCAACTTTATGCAACTCGGTAGGAGTGCTATCACAGGATTTGGGTGTTGAAGGGGATAGATAGATCATGGATCTGTTTTAGAAAAAAATCTGGGACGCGGACACACATGATGAGAGTGGGATTCGAACCCACGCCATTTCTGACTAGTAAGGTGGAAAACCTGAAACTAGCGCCTTAGACCACTCGGCCATCTCACCATTCTAGCTATTCCAAAGAAGGTACACCACAGCCATTTCACCTTTCAAAGAGAGGGTTATTTCAGAGCTGACTCTACTACATGTATCGCATATTCCAACTTTTCAAGATATTCAAGTGCTTGTGAGGCAACACGCCTTGGATCACCTTGAGAGGGATATGGGTATCGCAAACGGAATTGGAGGGGCGAAAGGTCTGGAGGGCTGAAGCGACAACGAAAAGTCAGTCGTGGGTGCAAAAAATCCCAATGACAATGCCAAGAACTTACTTGTCTTCTATGAACTTAGTGAGGAGTTTGAGATATTCTTGTACCGTTGATCCAAGCTGTTTGCGTTCGAGATCCGTCAAGTTATGATGGAACGGATACTTGGTTTCGATGCTCGAGACATCTTCATCCCATAGACCGGGGACAGGGAAATACATTAGCAAAAGTCCACTGACATCCTCCTTCAAGGCCCCCGTTTCGTACACATGCTAAGTAAAACGTTAATATTATGTCCGAGACGATCTCGCCCAAGGCGAACTCACGTATAGACAAAGTCCGCAAACAATATCTCTATATACTTTCCTCAGCTCCACGAGCTCTCCCTTGGCCTCAACAACTTTCTTCCGCTGTCTAGATGTCAGCGCGGTCAATGGAGACCCATGCCGTTTGTGTTCGGTATCGATCTTCAGAATGTTCTCTATTTGGCGGACCGCCTTCTGACGTGCATAATCCACGGTTGCCAGGTACTCGAGCAGCCTCGGTATCTCTTTCGGCACGATATGTGGCTGTAGATTCGCGCGGGCGGCGTACAGGACAACATGTAACGGAGGGATGCACTCCTCGCGCGTGACATTGGGCAGTATGCGGGTGTGTATATGGTCTGTACGGTATCGATAAGTCGGAGTAGCGTTACTGAGAATCGACGTACTGTAGACCGCGATGCGTGCTTTCTCCGCGTTGTCATCGTTCCGAATGCCTTCCTCGAGTACGCGGGGCGATAGAGCCGCAATGTCTTGAGCGAGGGTGCTGTCGCTCATGATTGAGCGTGTATGCTGCCAGTTCGGTGATTCCAGACGATGACAGTATGAGTGAAGGCACTTGCATAGGTGGTCAATGAGCGTTGTGGTTCGGAAGGCGACGCGTGACGTGACGGCTGTTTGCGCGTGACGTCACGAGTATTACGAACGCGGCCACCGCGCATTGCCGCTGTCTGCGCCTAGGGATCCATCTTGCGTGGCAGGATCAGGATGTAAGAGCTAATTGAGCGAGTATGAGGCCTCGCGCGCGCAGTGGGACCAAACCTCACGGCCATCTCTACTTGTTTCAACATGTCACCTAGCGTACCCTCAGAAGTCGTCATAGACGTTCTGCAACCTCCTATCCACGGCGACTCCCAACCGCACAACCCTCGTCACCCCGACCCAGACAGCCAAGAATTAGAATTAAGCGATGCCGCGCGTAGTGTTTCCTTTGGCAAGGTCTACAACATGGACGCTGCCACCGGTCTGCTGAAAGTCGAACTGTCTTCGGGCACAGCTTCAAATGAAGAGCGCAAGAACAGCATGCTCAATGCCTTGGAACACCAGATCGAGCTACTCAAGGAGCTGCAACACGAAAATGTCGTACAGTATCTTTGTAAACTACAGATCTCCTCTCCCTCGTGAGTTCATGCACTTACGTGCATTAGCGTCTTGCGTCGACGGCGACCACCTCAACATTTTCTTCGAACACGTCCCTGGTGGCTCGGTCGCGTCGCTTCTTCGCAACTATGGTGCATTCGAGGAGCCCCTCGTTCGTAACTGGGTGCGGCAGATCCTGCTTGGCCTCATCTATCTTCACGGGCGCGGCATTATCCACGGGGATATCAAGGGTGCGAACATGCTGGTCGATAACAAGGGAGTTATCAAGATCTCCTCAGCTTTCGGTATCTCTGAGATGGTTGAAGATAGTGAGTGCATCGGTCTCATGGTCTTGCGCAGTATATGCCTCCTGACGCGTTCGCCGCAGACTTAATGACGGGTAACCGCGCACATAGGTTATTCTCTCAGGACTCAGTGTTCTGGATGGCCCCTGAGGTCGTCAAGCAGACTGCGTGCACTCAGAAGGCAGATGTCTGGAGCGTTGGTTGCTTGGTCGTAGAGATGTTGACCAGCGAGCATCCATACCCGCAACTCTCGCAGACACAGGCCATCTTGGAGGTATGCCAGGCCTTGTTGATTTGTGGGCTGGTTCTAATTTTTTGCACACACAGATTGGCATGGGTTCGAAGCCGAATATTCCACCAAATATATCTCCCGAGGCCGAGAGCTTCCTCCAACTCACCTTCGAGCTCAATCAAGAAGTACGTCCCTCTGCGGCAGAGTTGCTCAAGCACGCATGGTTTTCCAGCCTTACTCAGTAAACTCTTTTCCTCGTATTTCGTAAATTACTTGTTCCCCCGTCTCGGGTTTTAGTCTCACCTAACCTTCATCGCATGTTCTGCGCATATCGCAGTTTTGCTTTGTTATATATGTAGCTGCTCTGCTTTGGAATGTTCATGACTTACTATGCAAATCATCGCAAATATATACAAGACTATACCATCGTAAAATCATCTGTTTCACCCCCCTTTTCACGCGTCCGCAGGGAGACGTTTGTGAGTTCTCGTCCCTCTTGACGAGGTTTTTTTTATCCACGACCAGAAGATGCTGTCTATATATATAATATACATTCAAGAGTGTATGAAGATAAGACGCAGAAAGTGCTAGGCGACGAGATAGCATGATGCCTAGGTGATCCGCGCGACAAGCCTACACGCTGGCCTCCGTGTCATCGTCGTATACGATCTTTGCGGCCCCCCTGTCCTTACGATATTAGTCAATGCATTTGATTCAAAGGAAATTCTTACCTCCTCTCCACGCCCTATGCGCCCCGGTGTTCGTCAATTCACAATGGAAGACATAGAAGACCATAAGCTACTCACCCCTTCGGTCCAGCTGATCTGGGCTTTGAGCTCAGTCAACCCGCACTGGAGGACGACCCGGAAGTCGAATGTGTAGAACACAGAGCCGCCTCGCTGTTTCTTCTCCTTCTTCACTGCCGTCGTATCGGCAAAGACAGTGCAGAGCGTCGTGAATTGTTCTGTCCGCAAAATCAATAGTCTTAGACAGGAATACATAGGGAGCGAGCTTACCCGGTTCTGCGTCTGCCCACTTCGGGTTCTTCACGCTGCCGCGATATGAGACGATCGTGGTAGAAATCTTGTTCAGCGCCGACGGGGTGGACGCTTCCTTGTAGAAATTCTGCGAGAAGACCTCATCTTGTTCGCGCACGCTGGTTCCCTTCCAGACCAAGTATGAGAATGATTTCCAAATGGCGTGACGACTGCACGTACCTTCGCAAGGATCATATTGAAGCTATTAGGGATGACCTTTCTTCCCGAAGGCCTTGTGTGCACCTTGGCGCGTCGCTTGACGTGGTCAGGGTCATCCGGCCGGTACTCAATGACGCAGCTTGTGCCGTACGCATACCGCGTGACACGTACAGAGACGAAATGCGACAGGTAGAAAACCATGGCGCCTTCAGCCACAGCTTTGTTACTGCCGAAAAATAAGTCTCTAGGTTTACGTGGGAGTGGATAAGACTCACGCGTGGCTATCGGGACGGCAGATTTTCATCCCAGTACCCTGCAGTTCGCGTTGGAGGTTGCTACACAGCCAAGGGCTTGAAGCGAACCCGCCAACAAGGAAGATAGTCTAGACACTCATACTTAGTGTCGTAAATATCCAAGCTGCCCCGGCGACGAACCGAAATATGCTTGTGCGAGGCTAATATGCGTTGGGTATGTATACCTGCCACGATTTTGTCGATCGAGGGCTTGAAAAAGGCCGCCATCTCGTGTCTAGAACCATAACTCATGAGCAACGACTATGACATCGTTGGACGAAGCCATACCCTTCGAGGACCAGCTGCCCGTGACGAATACCGACGTCAGGGTCTTTGTCACGCGCAGAGCCGAACCTAATGTGGGCTCGCTCCTTGTCGTCCCTGAAAGTTGGTTTGGCCATTTGTTCGAAGGATTCAATCATGGTTTTCACATCTTCCTCGTTTCCATATGTAGATTTCTCTAACTTCCCTGCAGTGAAGATATAATTTACCAGCGCTCATCTTAAAACAATATGGGTGGCTTACTTTGCAGGTATACGGATGCGCGCGCATTTACCTGTGTGGATCCTTGCAGTAAACCTAGCTTTGAAATCAGTTCTTGTTATAAATTGTGCTACAAAGGCAGACATACAATCTGGGGGTGCAACCTCCTCCATCAGGATCGGGACGGCAGTGACGAAAGTATAGGTTGTAATATCAACTGTTCCTCCACCCGCATCAACGACGATGATGGTTTCTCCATCCTGGAAGAAATCAGGTCAAATTTCTTCAGTAAATCATGCGTGGCGGCGTGCGTACTTTGATTACATCTCTTGCTACCCCCCTCTCGAGACAGTAGTGAACACTGGCCTCCCCTTCTGTAACAAAGTGGACGCGGCCGTGGCCTGCAGCATCATCAGATACCAACCCAGCTCGGACAGCCGCTGTGCGCATGGCTGTCTGTTGAACACCTTCCCATCCGTTGGGATGGCTGAGGATGATCTCGATATGGCCAACCACTGAGTTCCATAGAGTGGCCCCTTCAGGGTACGTCTCCACGATGTACTGTTTAGCGCATGTAAAAAGGTACTGAAGGAAGTCTCCAAAGATGCTCATCACATCCTTGCCAGGCGGCAGAGGGGGAATCGCTGCTTTGAGCTCCGGCGACAACAAGGATGCAGGGCATAGATGGAGTTTCCACCTAACCCCAGTGCCAAAATGTGAGTACATTATGCCTATGCTACTTACAGAACACCTCGACGTACCATTCGACAAATATAAGATTATCATCTTCGGCTTCAAGCCGCATTGCTGGCGACATCGCTTCGGCGCCGGCGGCGAAAACTGATCCATCCTCTGTGTAGTACAGGACTGACGGAATTTTGGCATCAC